GCTGTAGCCCCTAAAACACAAAATTCCACTTTCATAATTTCATTTAGATTTCATTGCAGGTTCTAATGGAACACAAGCTAGAAAACGTATTGAAGTATATGTGTCAGAAATAAAAGAAAATTTTTATTTTCAGCAGGAAGATCCTCCTTCAGTGAGCAAAACATGCAAAGTGAGAATGTCTTGAATTAGGGGAGGAAAGAAATAGAGGTGAGGTAGTTGTTACTTTTGTTACAAGTTGGGTGGCCAGCCCAGGTCTACACTGGGGCCGACTATATACTATGTAGAGCCAACATTTTCATTAAATGTTCAGAAATAAAGGGCACCAAGTCAAAAAGGTGAAAGAGTCCAAAATGTCTTTTAATTATTCACAATGCAATCAAACAAAAAAGAGCCAACTTGTTTCAGGGCCAATAACACTCCTTCTTTATCAGGGCTTAGGATGGGATAAGGATTTAGTTGGACTCAAAAGATACTATATACTAAAATGGAACGAAAAATCTCCTTTAGGGCACAAACACCTAGAAACAAAGAAATGGCAAACTAGAAATATACCAATGACCTGAGAAAGTCATAACAGAATCAAGTTTTCATGGTATACATACATGTTATACATACTGCTATGGCATCCATATGCTTTCAAATATATAAAAATACAGGCTGTTGAAAGCTCAACTTGTGACATAAAAGCATACCTCACTGCCCAGCCTATGTACCATCTGTAGATAGTCCTCACTGGTGCTGTGCCTGGAATTATCTGCATGGTGGTTTGCAGAGTTGCCCGATAACTGACCAGAGACTTTGTTTTCATGTAAGTTCCTCAGCCCACCCGCCACGATAGGACTGGACACAGAAGCTGCCAAAAATAAATATAATAAATATCACAAAATATACATTGTAGCAAATGTATCAACACTTCTGCAAAGCTTAACAACTAAAATACACCTGAACCAAAAGCATGCCCCTGACATACCTTGCTGCATTTGCTGATGTTGTGTGTAGCTTCCAGGGTGGGCATATGGCATATAGCCGGCAGGGCTTTGTGGAGCATAAGGGCTAGGAACAGGGCTGTTTTGCTGGCCAATAAACCGATTTGTCGAACTGGTCTGAGGTGGCACAAATCGACTGCAAAGGGAAAAAAAATAAGTACATGCAGATACCTATACACCTATTTAAGCCTCTTCACTGCTGTTCAATTTTCCCATATTTAACATGCAAAACAGAACACATTAAAGAATTCAAAATTCACTACAGATGCAACGCCGCAATCTAAAACCTGTATTTCCTCAAAGCAGAGATCAAATAGAGATAAAAAACGGGTAGTTTTATTTTGCAGGTTTACAATACTTGTTTATTTTAATAAACAAATACTGTTTTATGTTGGAACAGTGAAAATGTGGTGTGAAGAATTAAAATACATACAGAAGTGATCGGTTAGCTTTCAGGGCTAATTCACACCCAAGCGCGGAGCAGATGCAGAGCAGTTACAGAACAGATCAAAACTGCGTCCAATGTATTCCAATAGTATTTTGGTCTCTAGTTCACACCGCAGCGTTCAGTTCCAGAGCATGTAAAAAAAACTGCAGCAAGCCCTATTTTTCCAGCTCTGGAACACATGCAAACGCATCAAAAATGCATGCAAACGCCCTGGAATGCACTGAAAGCCCATTTTAGGCAAAAATACACACTGCACTGCATGTGCAGAAACTCATGCAGATCTGGTCTGCATTTGGTGTGAAGAAGCACTCAGACTTCTGGTTCAGTGCTATACATTTACATCAACTATCCAGTAGACCCACACTATATATGTATTGGTAAATTATGCTCATCAAGCTGATAAGATTAAAGAAATATCTAAGCGGCATGTGGACTGCTATATGCTGAAAGTGCAAAGCCGGAAAGATCCCGACAATATTTTCGGGATTCGCCCCGCTGCCTGATTGAAAACTGGCCCTGCCTCTCTAGAGCCAGAGGCAGCTGTACCCGTTCCCTCTCGTCAGTCCCTCCAATGAGCGCTGGAGGACCAGAGAGGGGAGGGCGGAATCACTGCGGGGAGCGGAGAATAAGGCCTCGTTCACACCTGACCGTTTTGTAGGGCGTTCTACGCTCGATGAACGCTCTACAAAACGGTCAAAAATATAAATTGCATTGTAGTCAATGCCCTTGTTCCCACCTCACCGTATTTCCGCCCGTCCCTAACGCCCTACAAAACGGCCCACGCCTGAAAAGGTTCCGGGACTACTTTGGGCCGTTTTGTAGTGCGCTTTCCATTGGGATACAGCCAAGTAGCCTTTGGAATCGCGCGCCTTTTTTACCTCGAATCGCGGTAAAAAAAACGCGTGACAGTCGCGCATATTACAATACGCCTAGGTGTGAATGGGGCCTAAAAGTAATCTCTCTATGCAGGGAGAAGATTGTGAACGGAGCGATCAGTAGTTTGTGATCTCTCAGTTCTCGATCAGTAGAGCCAACATATGACAGCTGCAGTGTCACATGCCGGCTCGAACTATTGGAATGAGTGCATTTCATAGTTCTCCGACTGACAACAACGTTTTAAAGGACCACGTAGTTGATTGACAGGTGATATTTGTCTATTGTACAGCTTGGGCCTTAGATTGAAGCGGCTCCGCTGGAACACAATGATTGATTTGGAAGACTAACATGGGTACTTGCAGGCCCCACAAAGAGCCTGTTCATCATCGCTCTTGTTACCTAAAACACATTTTTACTTGATTGTTGATAAATCAGTTCAGGGGAGAGAGAGAGAAAAAGTCTACAAATTCACTTTAATATATGTCACAACAATAAATGGGAATATCCTGAATACTTTTGTCATATATGGATTTTACAGCACACTACATTTCCTCCTGCTACAAACATTAAATGTCATAGGCTTATCATAATATCCCATAACTATGTTGAAGCAGAACAGGACTCCGAGACATCAAGGTGCTCATAAGCACCTTACAGAAATTCAGAGCTATGCATTACCTGGAAGGGCTATGAGAGATAGTGGTTGGTTGATAATTGGTAGATGCTGGGCTGCCATGCATGGAATTCTGGGGAAGCTTATACTGAGGCATCATCATCCCTGAAGAGAAAACAGATATTCACTATGAACGTAAACCAGAACAGAAGAAAACTATCCTAAATAATAGCCAAGGAAATCAAATATACTAAACCGAACTAGAGGGGGAAAAAAAATATTTGTTTTGGATACTATAAAGGTGGAGAAGGGTTAGAGTCTCAGCCAGAGTTTTACTATATGTATGACACTATGGGGAGATTTCCCCTTACTTCCTTACAGGGCAAGAAGGATTATATATTCTAACAATGTTTTCATTGCTTGCAATGCCTGAAACCTCCATTTCTTGTATGGGACAAAAAATTAGTACAAACACGATTAAGCAGATCTCCAGACCACATTCTCACAAACAATCGTGTGCACAATTTAAGACAAATCTAAGGCTTGGGAGTAAGAGCCTAAGTCAGCAGGAAACATCACTACTGAGCGACTACCAAACAGAGAGCTCGGAGTCTTCAAGAAGATTGTTACTTACCACTTTGCACCGCATATCTGTTCTGCATACTTTTCTCCCTGAAGACATTGGGATTCCTGGCCAAGGTGGCCTGCAACAGCACAGGTATATCTCCTTCCGGGTCATCACTTCCAAGGTTATCTTTCAGCTCTCTGTTAAAAAAAAAAAAAAAGGGAGCACAGATCATGAGAACATCCATCTCACAACCTCTATTATATAGATTTGTACACACATACTAATTTTTTTACAGTAACAGGCTTAGAGTAGATCATACAAATTGTCCAGAAAAGAAAGCCCTAAAATCCATAAGATGCCACTGTATGTTTCCATAGTAACCACATAAATAGTCCTTCACAAAGTCTTGTGTGGATTTTTTTTTAAAAGCATTATTCAATATCATTTTGAAACAGCTACAGCACATAACTACTGTGCAGATCTCGCTGGCTGGGTGCTTGGGATTTTTTATTCTTCCAGTCTGATCATTCCACAATGTTTATATGCTTCCAAAAAAGACTGAAAAAAAGGTTGACCTTTCACTTTACATATAGAATCTATACATTTATGATCTTTATTATAATGATCATGCAAGAGTACAAGCCATTAATCACATTTCTCCACTTCTACGTGCAAAAACAGTTGAACAATTTAATCCTTCATCAAGACTTCTCAGAAAAGTAACTGAAGAAAAACTTCAATAGTTTGCTTGTTTGCAGCACTTCTGACAAATTTTTAGCAATGATACAGAGCACATCGTGGGCTAAACAGTGCTGTCTAAGATCAGGGACCACAGTGTCGCAATTATTACATTTAAAAGTCAAACTCCCCTTTGTGTGCCCCTATGAATTAGTTTCACTTTGTTATCTGTACATGAACGGCTGTGATAAACTGCAACCACCCACATTCTGCACAGTAGGTGTGCTCCTTACGGGTCCGTATGTGCTTTCAATGGATGAGAGAACAGCAGTTGCCTTGGATTAACACAAAAGTTAAGTCCCTACAAACGGTGCCAAGATTCCAATGCATGACGACTTGGGTGCCATTCAAATAACAATACTGAAAAATCCCTCAAGATCAAAAATCAAGAGCAACTCGTACCTTTCCCGCTCGCTTATTTGACAGCACATTTTTCTCTCCAACACTTGAACAAACTTCACATACACAAGGCAAAGTAAACTTTCATTACAACTCAAAACACACAGCTCACAAAAAGTTCAGATAAGCATAGAAGTTAGTACCAAAAATCTAGCTTCACTACTCATTTTCATGTTGTCTAGCAATATTTCATTTCATGGACTCCTATTCACTCAACTGTAGCTACACTTACATATATTTTTATGAACCTGGCAACAAATTGCAAAAAAAGCAGCAGTGTATAAAAAATATTCTCAACATGTTTATTAGTAATGCTTCACCCTAACCATTAGAGCTTAGCAGGATAAAAGAACGGCCAATCAAGCAGGTATTCTAAATGACACCAAACTCCACAGTCTAGTGTTGATAGCAATTTTCATACATACATGTGATCTGTGGAAACCTGGTTGAGACTATGGACAAGCTGTGACACCAGAGGTTCATCCCTGCATGCCAGAAGGCAGTTGACCTCTTCTGCTATTCGTCCATTAAAGAGGAGGCTTTTTGTCGTCGTAGCTGGTAAAGGGGATGGAAGAGGCAGCTGGTTCAACACTGTTAAAAGTGAAAAACAAAGTCACAATAAGTTAGGAAATACTGAAGAAATATGATTTTAATAAACGATCAGAATAATGTACACATTTACTACCCTATCATACTAAAGTCACAATAGCAATTGATCATTGCCTGAAGCTATAATGTACACATACAAGTGTCCCAATTAAAACAAATAATATTCCAGAAAAATGTAAACTTAACCCAACATGCTCCAATGCTCCACACAATACAATTACAGAGCAACATATATCCAATAGTACCAGATCTTACTTAACCCTCAAGATTACACCTTTTCAAAATATCAATATTTTGGATGTGGGCGAAATGTCTATGATTGGATAAAATCATAGTAAACCCCTTTTACGTTTGGTGACAGCAGGCAACTGTTATATTGTTATATAATAATATATATTTTAAAAGGTACAACTAGAACATGAATTTCTTACTATCCACTGTAATCCAGTGTACAGCCCCATCTAAAACTGGAAGAGGAAGAGCAGCGCTAGTCCTTAACCATTTTTGCCGGGTCACCAAACTAGCTGTACATTTTCTGATTTCACAAATAAGCGAATTCCCATAGGTACTTTAACTGTGTATGCAGCACTGGAGCAAATAAATTATTCCCAAATCCATTGACCGTTAAAGGATGAGTTCACACAAAACTGATATTTCAAAGTTTTATGGATGATGGAAACACCTGCTTACATCTTTTCTGATGAGACCTTCACACACCTACTGTGGCCATTATAAGCGGCTCTGAGGTTGGCCATAGAATACATTTCAGGCCAATTCCTGCTGAATCAACCAAAATTTGAGCCCTGGGTGATCCTGCAAACACCACATGGCGCCACAAAAATGTTTTATAAATATTGTCTGGGCCCGGTGGAAAATTATCGGTTGAACAGTGATGGAATTCTGCCATATACAGTCATTATATTCAGGCAGGTAGTCAATACAATAGCCAGCAGTGGAGGTTCCTCCAACCATTCTATTTAGCGTGGATGGGGGCATGGATTGATTTTGACTGAAGGAGAAAAATGAGCAGTGTAACTGTCCCTGCTGTATTTTTATATTTTGATGGAATACGTGAAACTCCCAAGTAGATAGGAAAATATGCGGAAGGTCTCACTGCAAAGAAAGAGTGAATGGGTGTTGACTGCCCCCTTAAGTTTTGGACAGAACAGGAGAAGAGTCAAAACCTTACTGAAAGACAAACCAAAACAAAATCCCTTTTAACTTCAGCTCAGAAAATTCAGGTCTGAGGGTGTAAATTTCCAAACTGGGTGGACAGAAATACAAATCCTATGGAAATGAAACCAGCTCCCATATATGTAATGAATCTGTATATTTGGCATTGTGCCTAGAGGTCAGCTATGAAGGTGGTTATATGGCAATTTGATGAGGCAATTTTCCTAAATGACAATAGAAAATATAAAACGCTGGTCTCAATTGACTGCAGGGAGTTGGGATTGAAGATACTTTGATCAAACCTGATAGAAGAATCCAAAACCTCTTTTGACAAAATTGCTAGTTTTTGTCTGTTTACAATTTGATCTTTCAATAAACATATTGAAGTTGTCAATATATTTCTCAGGTCAACTTCACAATAATCCAAATTCTGGTGGCCAATCAAATTCAAGAGTGGCAGATTGCACAGTTCCTGTAGATTACATGTGGTAGAGTTTACAATTCTTGGTGGATGGCAAGTGGTGAAATTGACTGAAAATTGCCACTTGCAGACCAACGTTACACTTGGAAGGCTTCACAGCTGAACAGCTTCTTAACCGACTTCAATTATGATACAGGAGTACAAACCAATATCTAGTTTACAGTCTGCAACCAATAGACAGCCAATTATAACAAGCGCTCTGACATTGTCAAATACAAAATAAAAACACTACATACAACCTTTCACAGAAGCAACTGTGTTAGTATACTTTGGATGCAAACTATCTATCCATAGGCTAAATGTTTGCCCAAGGCAGCTATTAGTTTATAGGGAACAGCAAGCGACCTCAGGCTGTTGTCGTGCTGTCATGAATTCACAAGTCTAGACCAAGTCTGAAGACATTGCTAGGCAAGTAGAAGATTTGTTTTTTGTCACAGTTAACATTTAATACAGCAGATAAGTTAACAAGCAGGGTGCATATCAATGCTCAGGTCATTAACATACATTAGACTGATCATACAGATGACTGCTGAAGAAACTGCAACAGAAGCGGTCTCAAAATACAGACAGCTGTTTCCTCAGCCACTAGATTGTACATTCTGAGGATGTAAACACAACATACACCACATAAAACTGTTAAAGACTACACAAGCAAAAATAGTCTAAAGCAGCTGATGCCAGAGCTAGACAACAGAAAATGTGAGCCTGTGCTTAGCCAATAGTGGCCCAGAAACAAATTCAGTAAACAAATATTACAAGTTTTGAATATTGTTTTAGGGGGTAAGCTGTGGAAGAGGGGAGTGCAAAAGGAAGGATGGTGGACAGTAGGTGCAGTACAGGAGTAAAGTGTGTATAATGAAATGCAGTATGTGCAAGGAAGGACTGCGTAGGGCATACCAGCGGGCAGAATGTGAAGGAGGAGAGGTGTGTGGAGCTTATGACGAAAGCAATGCAATCACAACTTCTTTCCCCTTACTTTTTAGAGACTCAGAATCTTAGCAGCCTACCAGACCTCTAATGTAAACACACAAAATCCTCTAGCTAAGGTGATGGCAAAGGCTCAGGCATGCTATTCAAATGAGAGTATTCAGGCCTAGTGATAGGTTGCACTGACAACAAGATCATGCGAGAGGCATGTCTATTTTCCTCATATTCGGGGGAGGGAATAAGCCAAGCAGGGAGATAGATGTACTGTATGGCACGAGTCTTGCAATGTCTGCTTTATTTTATTTCCGGTTTACCATTACAGATTTGCTTTGAAAAGCAATACTTTAAAAAAAAAATCTTTTTAGAAGCGACTTCAATTTTTCTAATTTCTGCCGAGTGATACTTTGAGGTACAGTGAATAGTTAATTTAATAACAGTGCAAGGAGCTGTGGTGTTCCGCCAACTTTCTTTACTACACCCGCCCTGTGCCGGTGAGCAATTGGTTTTCAAGGATGACTGCACTCAGTCATGTTGTTGGCTAATAAAATAGCCCAATTCATAGCCTTTATTTGCTTTATTTACACACAAAAAAGAGGACATTTCATTTTTAAGTGGATAGCGAAGGGAAGGGCCCTGTAGAGGGTTTACCACTTACAGCTTTATTTATACAACTTATTTCCTGTTCTGGGGAGAAGGGGTCCCTGGAACATGCAGTGGGGAGAAATCTGCACAGGGGAACAAAGAAAGCAATAAACATTTGATGCAGGAAACGGGAAAAAGCTCTGCCAGGGGGTTGTTGCTGTCTGTCACATTTGGGAGATTGATTCAATATGTTTTGGCAACAGGGGTCCCCAGGAAAGAAGTGAGAGGATTCTACCCCAATGAGTGGCCAACCTCTGCAAAACAAAACCTGTCTAAAACTGAAAAAGTATTTGTAGGGGTTTCACTTTAATATTAAAGGACCATTTTATCAGAACAGCCTAGACATGCAGCAGCAGATGGTCAGACAACAGGCATGAAGCAAGAGATGGTCAGAGACTGCAAACATACTATAGGAGTTTTTAAAGACTGGGTCACAGGCTGGGCACAAGGGGTAAAACCACATCAAATTTGTGGTTGCTTTTGGAAAACAACTGCACCCCATGTAATAGATAACATTTACCCATGATAATGCATTTATAGTAGAATTGCTCAAACAGTAAGTCTGGGGAAAGAAAAAAAAAAAAAAGAAAAAACACAAAAAAAAACAACAGGCAAAAATAAAAGTCATAGAAATACTTACAGTCTGTGAGACTAGCAATTCCCGCTAGAGTCGTAATGGGAACATGAGGCATATCCCCATTCATCCTGAAGCTGTAGGATGGTGGAATCTATGCAGGTATTTCACTGGAGGTGCCACCTGTCATTACTTCCCATCTCCTACACACTGAAAAACAAAAAGGAAAGGTTTGATAAGGAGATATAGAATATGCTTACTAATATAAGCCACCGAGAGAATAAACAGAAGCCTATTTCTTCTACTGATGTATGAATAAATACACAGTCAGGCTGACCGTAATAATCAGGCCAAAAAAAACAATCAGGAATTCAAGAGTAAGATGGTCTAGTTTGGGTGTCTGCAAGCTCTGATCAAGAGGCTACTAGCTGCACTTTATATGAGGGAGGGGCACCTTCTGATAATTTAACCCTTTCGCTGCCAAAGATGTACGTCGTACGGAGCTACAAAGTGCTTCCAGCTGGCCAGCTCAGTACGTCGTACGGACCTGGCATTTACAGTTCTACTATAAGCTGATGGTCGCTTTAGCGACCATCAGCTTATAGTAGAACTGTTCAGCAGACTGTCCCCTTTAAATTAATAGCTGTCATCAGCATGTTACCCTAAGGAGAACTATGGGGAAAAACACTGACCCCATAGTTCTCCTTTAAATCCACACAAAACTGAAATATCTGTATAATTACTGTACGAGTAGATATTTGATATCATTGGATTTTATAACTAAAACCAATTATTAGGATAATAAACATTTTTCTAGCCCCAACTGCTGTCCCCCTGAAAATTCTTACTTCAGAATCTCAGGTGATGCCACAGACAGACATGAGGTGGTCGCCCAACCTGGATGAAATGCCAGAGGTGACTGACACCCGGGGGCATTCTGGGTACATTTTAAATGATGACTACAAGTACAAGTCTCACCTCAAACTCTGCACAGTGCTAATGTGAATCAATTTTAGCAGCAAGGAAGAAAATAATTATGGGAAATCTAAAGTGCAAGAGTAATCTGATAAAAGAAGCCTGAATTATATTTCATAGATCAATGACTGCTGCTTGCAAGGAAAGTAATGCTTGCTAAATTACAGCATGAGCTGTATGAAACTCATCTGATATTAAAAAGGACCTGAATTAAAATATGTACATTTGCTGTTATAGGAAACATCTAGAACTGTTAACAGTGACTATCAGGAAATCCTCCTGCACAACAGCAGTGCACTTCCTTGTACGCAAGTGTGACTACAGCCTCATAGATGTATATCTGCAGTGTAAGATCTAGGGCACTGCTGTCTGACTGCCAGACTCAAGATCTGGAGTGAGGTTTGACGATGTTGATACTGTGCTGCCCCCTGCTGGAGGTTCTGACATTAGGAAGCAAAACCCTGGTTTGTACCAAGATGGCCACCTCCACATAGACTGAACTGAGCAAGGCATGGCAAGGCAGTAATGGGAAAATATCTGCTGCAAGGGGGCCAGAAGGAATACTGGTCACTAGTCATTTGCCCTATGTCTGCATGGCTTTCAGAGTTTTAACTGGGGATGCACAGATACTTTTTGAGTACCAGTCCAGATACTTGGCATTTTCATAAGAACTACCAGGGTTGCAGCTGGGACCTGGCTCTGCGCTCCACCACTGTCCTGAAATCATTAGTCTGCATTGTTTTGGAAAAACTGTCACATGACAATAAACAAAAATGTATCAGTACTCGTACTTGTAAGTACTCGGCAAGTACCAGTACTTGTACTTGCAAAATTGGTATCTGTGCATCCCTTTATTTATATTTATAAAAACAAAATCATACATTAAAACAGAGATGTACAAATCCCGGGAGCTCCGTGTGCTCCTTACAAATGACAGCTGCCTCCTAATTTTTTTATTTTTCTCTAGTCTAGTCTAGAGGGGGGCACTTTTCAGCAAAAAAAATGGGCTGAAAAACTCGGCTTATACTCTAGTATATACGGTATTCTTCATTCTTAAAACATCAGCTGGAATTATGGGAGTCAGAGTAACTTAGGTGCTTCATTTCATAATTCAAAACCATTATTTCATTTAGGCTGGATGAGACATCCAAATGATTTATTTATTTATTTATTTATGAGTGGTTATAATATTGCCTTGACAAAAAAAAAAAGTCACACTCTAATATTTGATTGGACCACCTTTAGGTTTGATTACGGCACACATTCAGCGTGACAATTTCCATAATCTTATGCAATGTCACAACATTTATTTCCTTCCAGAGTTGTATTCATTTTTCACCAAGATCTTGTAGTGATGATGGGAGAGTCGGACCTCTGTGTAAAGTCTTCTCCAGCACATCCCAAAGATTCTCAATGGGGTTAAGGTCTGGACTCTGGACTCTGTGGTGGCCAATCCATGTGTGACAATGATGTCTCATGCTCCCTGAACCTCTCTTTCACAATCTGAGCCTGATGAATCCTGGCATTGTCATCTTGGAATATGCCCAATGTGCCATCAGGGAAGAAAAAAATAAATTGATGGAAAAACCTGGTCATTCAGTATATTCAGGAAGACAGCTGACCATTTTTTGGTGACATAACATTGCTGAACCAAGACCTGACCAACTGAAGCCACCCCACGTCATAGCATTGGCCGAAATCCAGGTGTTGACTTTTTTGGCCAAGCAGTGTATTTCGATCATTGTAAAATAACCAGCTACAATATTTGACAACTACTATATAATAAACTATAAAACCTTAACAGCCAACAAAGAATAAGAAAAGTAGAGACCTAAATAAATGTAAAGAACTGAAGTAACTGCAGAACCTGATGAGTGTCAGAGTTATTACTATACAAATTCATGTTTTTTTTTAAGCAATTATAACTTAAAGCAACAGAACACTAACAGATAAACAAGAGAAAATAAATGTACACATTCAAGCATGGCCAAAATTTGTCCTAACAAAAAAAACCAACAACTTATTTTTCACTTATATAAAAACAAGTCACATTACATGTATGACATTTTTCCATTACTCTCACACATGTGACCTTATTCCAAGCACACAGGCCTATTACAAGCATAAGGTCTATCACATTGCTTTTGAACTTGTACTTTTCTCTCTCTCAGTATTTATACTTGCACGGAGACAGCGGCAGCCTAATTTGACCTTGCCTTATACAGTAAAACCACAAAACGAGTGTGTTCATTTTAAAGTTTTCTAGTTGGTGTAGCTATGGTTTTTCCTCATGCTAAACAAAACACACCAGAGTAAAAAGTGTGCACCCCACCACATGACAACCCTGGTGCCTTGTGACTTGGGGCCCATTCATGTAGTTCCGGGCAAGTGGTTTTTTTCACTGTTTTAGCCCTGCTACGGACAAGTAGCAGGGCTGGTTTTCTTTTCTTAAATGAGTGCCGAGATCGGCGCTGCAAGGGGAGGGGCATGGAGCGCAGAGAGCGGGGGGCAGGGACGGAGTGTGGAGCGCTGAGAGCGGGGGGTAGTGATGGAGCGGTCCCTCAGCCTCTGTCCCTGGCGGCCGCTGCTCGTTTCTGTCACAGGAGTTCTAGCACAGTGCTTTGCTAGAACTCCTGTGTTGGAGGTGACAGGGTCAATAAAGAGAACCTGTCACCTCCAAAAGCTATCACACTGTGTGATAGCAATACAGTTAAGCTAAAAAAAAATGGTTAAAAAAAGTAAAAAATAATTAAAAATGTAACTAAATGAAAATTTTAAAAATAAAAAGGCGATACAGTAAAAATAAAACAAATGAAATTTTTTTACGAAGTAAATAAAAATCGAAAAAATTAAAAACCAGCCCCGCTGCCCCCGTCTGCATGCGAATAAACGCACAGTGTTTTCTACTGTGATCGTGTGCAATCGCACGGGCAGGGCGGTATTGCAGCAGGAAAACGCGCAATCTGCCTGGCATGACTGGGGTGCCATTAGAAAGAAATGGCACTGCCAGCGCGATCGGCAGGGGTGTGCGATCCGTGACTGCCCGGCCATCGTGCACGAAACCGAGCGGATGGCTGGGTGGTCACGGAATCACACACCACCGCCGATCGTGCTGTCAGTGCCATTATTTTCTAAAAACACTATTTGGCCTTAGATCAGCTACTTCGATCTGCTGATTGAGGGATGCCGAGCTGAGGGGTGTCAACAGGGCAGATTTCAGCCAGTTAATTATGCAAGAACCGGAGAAAAGTTGCATAAGTAGGAACTCTAGAAAGGTCATGCTCATGCTCTCTGCACAATGTGTATGCCTATTTACAATAATGAAGGGTCCTGTGTTGATTACATCCAATGGCAAATTATAACCAACTTTACCAGGAAATTCCACAACAAACCTGCTGTCCCTGATGTTTACGATGCGCTGCAGGGCAAAATAAGGAATAAAGCTTGTTTTCTGGTAGAATAATCAAGACTAGTACACAGACACAGGATAGTACTGAGTGTAATATCATCATACACAATACTGATCTGCATGGAGTGACAGAGTAATGGAATGGATTGGCTACACTTGGGAAAACCAGGCCCAAAGGCTGACCACGGACAGATAACTCACTTGGGATGAAAGAAGGTAAGACCTGTGTACATTCTTAGAAGTGCTGCCACTCCATCAGGTCTCTGAATGTTCTCTCTCACCAAGACTACAAGTAGATGCAGTACAACAGGGATGGACAAATTAAGAAATCCAGGAGCCAGCAGGATTTTCTTTTTTTTTTATGGAGCCAGCTCCATGGACAACTAGAGAAAAACTCAAAAGTTAGGTGCCAGCTGCATTTTGGAGCATTGTCGTGGCTCCTGGGACTTGCCCAGCCCTGCAGTACAATCAGTGACAGTTTTGTACTGGATTAGTTCACTGACCAAGAACCATCAACATCCAAAAGTTCAAACATCTGCATGCGATTCAGGTCTAAGGGTTTGAAATAGGGATGCACCAAAATTTCGGCCGCTGAAAACATATCAGACGAAAATGGCACTTTTGGCAAAAAGCCGAAAGTGCCATTTTTGGAAGAAATTGCAGATTATCTCTGGGGTCTCTCCTCCCCGCTGGGCGCTGCTCTGTGTCCCCTCTGACACAGCGCAGCATCCTAAAAGGAAATATCAGGGGTCTGTTCACACTCTTAATATTTCCCCAAAGCCTATTGAAAAAAGAATTATATTTAATAAAAATATATTTTTTAA